GAAGCGATGCTCAAAGGTCAAAGGGCTCAGACGGGTCCTGGAGCCCCGCCGGGTCGGACTCCTCCACAAAAAATTGGAAAAAATATAAAATCCATCAGATGACCAGAAACCACCACAGAGACACAAGAAATATGAGAAACGAAGAAAACTCTATCCTCTAATGGAAAAAAAAAAAAAAAACAAACTCCTTTTCTTCCACAGAGAATACAAGGGAACTCATGGAAATGTCAAATAATTTAAAATATTAGAGACCAGTAGTTGGTGTAATGGCTATGTTGCTGGACTCCCCTGGAGTTGACTGCGGGTCAAGTCCTGGACGGATCTGGTGGCTTAAACTCAAGCTGGACGCATGTGCATGTGTGCCTAAGATCCTGAGAGGAGAATGGAGAAGGGGACTGCGGTGTGGCCATCCCCCGTGGGGGGTGATTTCTTGCTTTCTGTCTCTCTGTCTCTGTTTTTCTGGTGAGTGCATGCACCGTATAGCAAAAACCTCTCCAAAAAAAAAAAAAGAATTTAAAATATTCATAGTGACAAAGCTAACAGATGCAAGAGAATAGAGACAACGAACTCCAGATGAAAAGAAGAGACACCAAGTTCCAGGAGAAAATTCTTGCACTATCTGAAAAAGGATACACATATCATAAAAAAGAATCAAACAGAATTGTTTTCTTAACCTCCTACATGCTTTATTATCCATCTCCTTGGTAAGTAACGACACGGAGGACGTATGGAAATGTAAGCACAGGTGTACAAAACCGGGTATATTATTTGCAGTAAACATCCCACCTTAGCCCAGCCTTGGTGGCAGTTGGCAGTGTACTGAACTGCAGTGCAGAAGCCACGTGGCCAAGCACAGGAAGCCACATGGCTAACCAGATTCAGATGCCTGTGCCCAGGAATCTGATGAGCTGAAGGCTGAGGGCTGAGGACTACAACACGATCAATTCTGTCAAGTTTCTATTGTGCATGAACTACCACGAATAAACTAAACTCGAAGACTTCACTTGCTGGAACCAGCAGATGGCATAACGGCTATGTGGCTGGACCCCCATGTAGTTGACCAGGGTCCGAGTCCTGGAAGCTTAAAACTCTAGCCAGGTACACACGTGCGTGCCCAAACTTCTGAGAGGAGAACGTAGTAGACTGCTGTGTGGCCATCCTCCCTTGGGGGTGATTTCTGTCTATCTCTCCTGCAAGCCCACACACCCTATAGCAAAAACCTCTTAAAAAGAAAAAGACTTCACCTTGCTTTGGAACCTCATTCTCCTTAATGGTAGGATTGAAAAGAGGATGATAAATTTACCAAAAATAATCCAAATTATTCCTAGGCCTAAAATTTTCTCAGTAAATATTTGGCCAAAATTCAAATTTATCAGGTAGTTTCTCTCCTTTGGAGACCTCCCCACCCTATTTTCCTTATGAAGTTGGAGTCAAGGTTAAGGAGCACCTCTTTCTATGGAAGTGGGACAGGGCTCTTTTTTGCAGTCTCCTGGATTTTCACTAGCATGTTCTACTTTGTCCATTTCTTAAGCTAGTACTCCCTATCGTCCTCCATGGCGGGTGGGGAGGTGTCTGAGATTCTAGACTTTGAGATTTCCTTATCCCAATGTTAAGGCCTCTTCCATCCTCATTAATGAGACATTAACTGCCAGGAGCTTTTACCCGGCATCAACTGTAGACCTTCTCTATTCATTTCTAGGCTTCTTCATCCTACCATTTTCAAACCAGAGAGTGGATAGTATTTGTGAACTCACCATATAAACGCCTTCCCTAACAGGACTACGGGTCCCAGAAAGCTATCTGTTACTAAAAGCTGTAACGACCAGAAATGCTGTGTCATTAATATACTGACGATAGCCACGTCTCAGGAACTGCTAGTTTAATAAATAGTTAATAATTTTTCCTGGAAGAAAAGTCATAAAATTTGGAAACAGCTTATAGTACAGAAAATGACATACTTCCCCTAAAATAGAGAAAATATCCTTTGGATAAGTAAAAGCAATTATTAAAGAGAAATGAAAAAAAGTTTTTATTTTCATAAACTACCTTTAAAAAGAATGAGAATTAACCTCGAAAATCAAGACCTTTATCTTTCATACTAATTTTTTTTCTTTTCTTTCTTACCCCCCACCACTTCACTCCAGATTAAATGAAAAGGGAAAGACTCACATTCTTAAGTAGGTGAAACATACAAGCAACAATTAGAGTAGGGTAGAAAAAAATCCAAGAGACAACTGGAGTGCAAATTATTTTATTTTGATGAATAAAAGCTGTAGTTACAACTAAAAGCTATTTCCTCAATAAAATACTGTAAAAATAACAGGTATTTTCCTACACATAGAGTAAGTCTTAGAGAGACCACACGTTACTAGGTTCCAACTCACTGAGACAAGAAACACACTAACTGAAGTGTGATGTCTGTGGTGGTAGAAAAGCATGTGACAGGAAAGTGACACACATCAATGCTGTTCTTGGTCTCCAGGCAGATCCTGAAGTGCCATTCCTAGTAACACTTTTCTCCTAGCAGAGTCTGCAAAACTCCGGCCAGCAGGTGATATACCAGTTCCTTGGCTCTGGTCAGGGATTTTGAGTATCTCAATCTTCAAGCAAATAGTTAGGGTTAACTACCAAGTAGGGATCCTCTTCATAGCTCTCACTTCCCTCTGTGGAGCCTTTCAGTCCAGCTTGGGTGAGCTCAATTAGAACATGATCCTGTGAAACACAAACATTTGTCCTCAGGCTTCCAGTAGTATTTATAAAATGTCCAGACATGAGAATTCATCTTTGTTCTAAATGTTTGCTACTGACATTTTCTTTCATTTTTTCTTACCAGAAACTCCTCGAAAAATGGCTACACCTTGAATTTACTGTTCTGCTAAATGACCTTCCCATTATGACACTAACTTTTCATATGATAAACACCTTTAGGAAAATGTAAATAAACTCAATAGACATCATGATTTGAAAAAGGTTTCCTGGCATATTAAGTGCTTGTAAATATAAGTTCAAAAAAGCTTAAATTTTAAGATGACATAATTGTACCAAATATTTAATTCCACTTAAGTGTTAAACTTTACATTATTGGCCACTGAACTTTTCATATACCACCCATTCATAATTTAGTTAGAAGTAGAATCTGAAGAGAATACAAATGGAAGAGAAGGTGCTGCAACGTGCCACTCCCATGGATCTCGTGTTCTCGCTCTCCTTGTCTTTCTGAGAAGCGCACATGCCCTCTTACAAATTTAAAAAAAAAAAAAATTGAAAATCACACTGGGTGTGTGCGTGTGCACGTGCACATATGCCCAAAATCCCAAAAGGAGAATGGAGAAGGGACTGAGGTGTGACCATCTCCCCATCGGAGGTGAGGTGACATCTCACTTTCCCTCTCACTGCCTGTGCTCTCTCCAGAGTGTGCACATGTCCTATGGCCAAAAAAAAAAAAAAAAAAAAAAAAAAATAAAAAAAATTCATCTTGAAAA